AGGGTCACTATGGGTCAGAACCAACTCGATGGCACCTAACAACAACAAGAACAATAAAAGGCATCCATGAAAAACCTACAACTAGCATCATACTTAATGGTGAGACTGCTTTCCCCACTATGATTTGGAACAAGACAAGGATGTCCTCTCTCACTATTCCTATTAAACTTCACACTAGAAGTCCTAGCTAGTCCAATAAAGCAAGAAATAAATACATAGATAAACAGCATACAGACTGAAAGGAGGAAATAAAATCGCCTTTACTGGCATACAACATGGTTGTCTATATAGAAAAGTCTAAAGAATCTATTTTTTAAATAAGGAAAAAAACAAAACAACAAAAACTTCTGTAACTAATAAGTGAGTTTAGCAAGGTTGCAGGATACAAGGTCAACATACAAAAGTGAATTGTATTCCTATATACTAGCACTGAACAATTGGAATCTGAAATTTAAAAAAGAAACCATTTACAACAGCACCAAAAAAATGAAGTACTTAGGTATAAATCTAACAAAATATATGCAAAATCTGTGGAATACTACAACACACTGATTAAAGAAATCAAACAAGATCTAAATAAATGAAGATATACCATGTTCGTGGATTATAAGATTCAATATTGTTAAAATGTCAAGTCTCCTTGTCATGGCTTGAATTGTGTCCCCAAAAAATATCTGTCAACTTGGCTAGGCCATGATTCCCAGTATTGTGTGATTGTCCACGATTTTGTGATGTCATGTGATTTTCCTATGTATAGTAAAGCCTACCTCTATGATGTTAATGAGGTGGGATTAGCAACAGTTATGTTAATGAGGCAGGACTCACTCTACAAGATCGGGTTGTGTCTTAAGTCAATCTTTTTTGAGATATGAAAGACAGAAGCAAGCAGATAGACAAGGGGACCTTATGACCACCAAGCAACAAGAGCAAGGAGCATGCGTCCTTTGGACTTAGGGTCCCTGTGCTGAGAAGCTCCTAGACCAAGGGAAGATTGATGACAAGGACCTTCCTCCAGAGCCAACAGGAAGAGAAAGCCTTCTTCTGGAGCTGGCACCCTGAATTCGGACTTCTAGCCTCCTAAACTGTGAGAGTATAAATTTCTCTTTGTTAAAGCCATCATTTGTGGTATTTCTGTTATAGCAGCATTAGATAACTAAGACACTCCCCAATTTGATCTATCGATTCAATGAAGTCCCAATCAACATCCCAGCAAGCTTTTTTGTAGATAAGGACAAGTCTAAGATTTATATAGAAAGGCAAAGGAAGCAGAGTAGCCAAAACATTCTGAAAAAGAAGAATAAATTTGGAGATTTCATGTTAGCCAATTTTAAGACTTATTATACAAAGCTACAGTAATCAAGACAGTTTGGTACTGGTGAAGGGACAGACATATAAATCAATAGAGCTGAATAGAGAATCTAGAAATGGACTGCACAAATACAGTTAACTGATTTTTGACAAAGGTTGGCGTTGGTGGTGGAACAACTGAACTACTAACATGCAAAAAAAATCTACTTTGACACATACTTCACATCTCATACAAAATTTAACTCAAAATGGACCATGGACCTAAATATAAAACATAAAACTATAAAAATTTCTAAAAGAATGTAAGAAAAAATCTGAGTGACCTTGGGTTTGGCAATGAGTTTTTAGATACAACACCAAAAGCATAATCCATGAAAGAAAAAATTGATAAAGTGGACTTTATCAAAATTAAGCATTTTTCCTCTTTGAAAAACAATGTTAAGTGAATTAAAACCAAGCCACAGACTGGGAGAAAATATTTGTAAATCACATATCTAGTAAAGGAATTGATCCAGGATATATAAAGAACTCTTAAAACCCAACAATAAGAAAACAAACAACTCAAAAAATGGGCAAAAAATCTGAACAGAAACTTCACCATAGAAGATACATAGATGGCAAATAACATATGAAAAGATTTTCAGAATTATCTGTCACTAAGGAAATGCAAATAAACACTACCATGAGACACACCTATTACAATAACTAAAACCCAAAAACTGACAATAACAAATGCTGATAAGGACGCAGAGCAACAGGAACTCTCATTCATTGCTGGTGGGAAGGCACAGCCATTCTGGAAGACAGTCTGGCAGTTATCTATAAAGTTAAACATAGAAGTACCACACTACCCAGCAGTCATACTCCTAGGTATTTACCCACATGAATTGAAAACCTATGTCCAATCAAAAACCTAGACCTGAATGTTTATAGCAGTTTTATTCATAATCACTAAAAACTGGCAGCAATTTCAACAGAGACAAAATGAACTGTACATAACACTACACTCTACTTGGTAAACTTGTTTCTCATGGGGGTATGGGTTAACAGTTTTGAAACTGCCTTACATGTATACTGGAGTTGAACAAATAAGTAAATGTATAGTGGATGGTGGGAGCCAGGTTTCACACTGTCAGAGAGGGAAGTTACAGACAAGCAAGAAGGAAAAGTAAAATGAACCCTCTGTTGCTGGATTAGAGTCAGAGACGTCAGTATGAACTCATGTTTAGCTTAATTCATAGCAACCCTATAGGAAAGAGTAGAACTGCCCTATAGAGTTTTCAAGGAGCCGCTGGTAGATTTGAACAGCCAACCTTTTGGTTAGCAGCCAAGCTGTTAAGCCAAGCTCCTAACCACTGTGCCACCAGGGCCCCATATATATATCTAGTGGGATAGATACGAAAACAATTATAGATAGGTGTGTACACACGGCTTAAGTACACATATGTATATTACCTAGCTTTGTCTGCTGAGGGTCTAGAATTAATGACACCCTAGTAGCAATGAGTACCCCCAGTATCCATATTTTCCTTTGTAAATACCATTTAGAAACAGGGTGCCTGGAGAAATGGCTGATTCTAGGTCTGCGGCAGTGAAAATACAAGCTGAGTCTGGAGCACCTTGTAGTGCCAGAAAGTGAAATACTGAAAAACAAAAAGGGCGGGGGCACGTTAAAGGGACACAGAAGCCAACCCCAAAGACCTCCCAATGGCTAACACCGGAGCAACTTTAGCAACGAAATAAATAACAATAGTGTATTATAACCCAAAGTATAAAATAAATATACATGAATCCATACTAATATGAAAAAATGATATAATAAATAAATAAATGGAAGAATAGAAACCTTCCTTACAGAAGAATTCTGAATAATATATGCAGATACCCCTCCCTTCAGTGTCTGGACCTTAAATTTCCCCTCCTCCTTACCCTGAGGGTGGACTGGATTTAATGAATTGTTTCCAAAGAACAGAGTATGAAAAAGGAAAAACAGTAACATTACAGTTGTGAAACTCTGTCTTAAGTCATTAAGGTTAAGATCACCAGTGATAACAGTGATAAGTCATCTTGATATCATGAACCCCTGATATAATATGATTAGAAGGGGGCTTCACCTCTGTGTCATTCTTCACAAAAACAAATAACACCAGAATAATCATAAGAAAAACATCAGGCAAACACAAATTGAAAGACATTTCAGAAAATACCTGACCAGAACTCCTCAAAACTGCCAAGGTCGTGAAAAGCAAGGAAAGTCTGAGAGACTGTCACAGTCCAGAGGACGCCAAGGAGACATGACAACTAAATGCAAAGATCCAGTGGACCTGGATCCTGGACATTAGTGGAAAAACGAGTGAAATCCAAATAAAGCCTGGAGTTAATGGTAATGTACCAATGTTGGTTTCTTAGTTTTGACAAATGTATCATGGTTATATAAGATAATAGCATTTAGGGGAAACTGAGACTGACGAGGGGTATCTAGGAACTCCCTATGTCTGCAATTTTTCTATACATCTAAAGTATTCCAAAATAAAAAAGTTTATTTTTAAAAAATTACTTTCTTCACACAAAAAAAGTTCCGAAGAATTCTGAATGACAAGTGAAAATACTCATGAGAGAGAAATCTTAAGTGAAAAAAGCAGCTTAAAAATTGTATACACCTACAAACACACAAATTATCTACTTAACTACTGGGAGACAGATAAACAGAGAAAAAGACCAGAAGTACACTAAGATATTAAGAGTAACTACTTTCTTAGTACTGAACTCATAGATTTTTTCCATCTTTTTTGTCTTTCTCAAATTTTCACAATGAACAGATATTTTACTATGAGAAGAAAACATTTTTATAGTGTGTATTTTAAAAATTGTCTCACTTGTTTACAGTAGCATGGTCCCAAGTTATTCCATGAGATGTTACTGGGTGCTCCATAAAAAAGGGGTTCCATGGTCAGATACGTGTGACAACTCAGAACACTGTCCCTCTTATGGAGAGTCATAATGCCTGGATGTTAAAGGAGGATTTCTATGAAAATGCCTCTATTGTCTCCAAAATCTTCATGGATCTTGCCTTGTATGACCCTCATGATCTCTTACGGCCTGTGTAGCACAAGACAGCATATGCAGTACTATATAGTCTCTGACAGGTGTGTATTTTGGGGCCTTATCTTCCCAACTAGAATTTAATAACTCTGAAAGCGAGAGCTTTGTCTCTTATTTCTTCTTTGTGTCTTCTTCCACTTGTTCATTTACTTGCCGTTCACTTATTTATTCATTCTTTCAACACATATTTGCTGGATCATACTATATGTTAGGCACACTGCTAGTCAATAGAATAAGTAACACCAGACTGGTCCCTTTGTTCTTATGGAGATTACAGTTTAGTTGGGGAGGCATAAATTAATAAAACCATCACAAAATACATATGTAATTATAAGCACTGTAAAAGCTTTGAAGGAAAGATAACTTTAGGAGAGTCCCATAAGGTGGGACCTAACCTAACCTTCGGTGGATGCTTGCTGGGGCAGGGCAGGAAAGGCTAACTGGGAAGATATCACATGAGACAAGGTAGAAAATGAGAGCAGAGATGAGAAGAGCATTCCAGACAGAAGCCCTGGGGTGGAAAATGTGCACAGGACCAGAGTATCACACACAGCAGGCCTGAGCTGACAGACCAAGCAGACGCTACTAACCATTTTCCTCACCCTCTTCTCTTCTCGTTTTCTTTCAAGCTGAGCCTCCTTTTCTTCTGCTTCCCTCTTCTGGCGCTCCTCCTCTTGGGCCTTTAATTGGGCCTGATAAAGATTAGAATGTGTGAAAATCCAAACCCTCAATTTGTATGGCAATAAGATCTTTCATGTTGAGGGAAGTCAAGCATGTACTATGCACAGTGGCCGTCCCAGCTCTGGGAGAAGTCTGCTTGCAAGTTGTGATAAAAGTAGAAAACCTGACCAATGTGTGGTCAGTTGTGAAATTTAAAGGTTTCTCCAAAAGAATCATTGTCTACTTGGGAAGGTGAGACTGAGGATGAATAAAACAATTTTTCATCATAAAATGATTAGTTTTCAGTTCTTAATTTCAACTGGGAAATTAAAAAAAAAAAAAGTTTTCTTTCATTTTACCAAAAAACCATTCTTGGAACTGTTCATTTTGTTTTGCTACTTACAACCACTGACCTCTGGTAGTCTGGGTCAAAACTCTGGAAATAAGAAATATTTCTCCCTGCAGTAAGAACTATTCCCCCTTGCAAACTTAATCAGAGTGACACTCAAAAACCTATGTATAAATCTCTTAATTTGCCAGCTCCCATCAATTTTTGTAATATTTTCTTCCTGCTACACTAATGATGTTGATCTTTTCCCCCCTTATTTTCCTAAAATTGTCACAAAGTTCACACCAGTAGGCAAAAAGCTGTTTCCAAAGTTGGTTTAACTCTATTGTCGCAGGAGGCTTGAACAAACAAGAAAGATTTCATTTTTTAATAAAGACCTATGCAAGTCCTTTTTCTTGCCTCAGTTTGCATTCTGCGATTATTACCAATTTCTCCTCTTCTTGTTTTTTCTTCCTCTCTGCCAAGATCCGCCTACGTTCAGCTCGCTCAACTGCTCTCTCTTCCATGGCTAGAAAACAGTAGCAGAGTTCCAATATCAAAAATATGAAGAACAGTGCAAAAGAAATGTCCCCATTTCATAGTAAACTTTAGTGTGATCATTAGGGTTTTCTTGCAAGTTGAGTGTTGCCAATCTCAGAAATATATATGTATTATGCATTTCTATATATACATTCTCTACAATCCCAACCTCAGCAGTGATGAACAATTTGCAGATTAATTATGTTTTTGTTTACATTTCTACTAGGATGACCGCCACTTTGAACAAGATGTGCCTTGATAGGCTTTTAGTATCTGAAACCCAGAAACCAGAATTTTGATTTGACAATACCTTTGATGAATGTAGAAAACTTTAATTATAGCTAACAAATACTTTGAGAATGGAATCATTCCTCAAATCCCATTAAGTGAGTCTGCTAATTTTTCTTAAGTCTCTGTACATATGTCTCTATATATAACACAAACAACAAACTAAAGTTTGGGGTCCCGATGAATACATTTTAATCTAGTTTTCAGGGCTGGATATCCAGATGGGCAGGAAATGGAAATGTACCAGGCATTTGGAGAACTGGCATCTGAATGAATCTGAGTGTCAGACTTGTGTTCCTGACAGTCTATTAAATATCGATCCAAAAGAAGCAAATGTGCAAGATGGTCTGATAATCTGACTCTGTAGTCACTTGGGGCCTACATAGGAAGGGGCACGGGTGGGAGGGGTATCAGAGTTCTGCTCCACTAAACAAGCCAATAGTTACTCTCAGTTGCTTGACCACATTAAAGAGAAGAAAATTTAAGTTCCAATTTCAAGAATTAATAAACAAAAAACTCACCAGACTATTATTTCTTACAGATATAAGTACATGCTTTACTGCAAAAAGAGGAGTGGTGGTGCCAGAGATGGCGGGTGTGAGAATGTCTTTAAGAAGGAAGAAAGACACTACAAGATCAAAGGGAGAGAACCTTGGAAAGCAGAGGCTCTGGAAATACGCTCTTTCCCTATTTTTTCTAGAGCTAATCATTAAACGCTACTTGAAAAGTAGCCTGAGATTCTAAAATATGCTAACTTTTTGATCAAACAATAGTTTTTTTTCCCAAGTGATCACACTGAACTAGGCGTCTCCCCATCAGCCGTAGGGCGGGCAAAGTTGGCATGAATTGCCCTCCTGGCAGATAGCCAATGCAAAGACTGTCAATTTCTTTGTTAACAGGGATGACTGCAGCACGGTGTCCTTCAGATGACACCACCTTGTCAGAGCGATAATCTTGTCACAGTTGAAAAAGCAGAGATTTACAAACCACAGTACAATCTTCAAAGTGCCTAGTAACATAGACAAATGTATAGACAGTGAGTGACTAAGTATTGAGTAAGAACAATTGGCAGATTCACCAGGTGGGTTATGAAGAATGCTTCTATTCTATTTGTTTAAATATGGTTTTCTGTGTGCATCGAAAGTGTTATCAAATTAAAATGTCTGGTTTCTAGATTTCATTAGTACAAGCCTATCATAAAGGTGGAGCCCTGGTGGCACAGTGGTTAAGAGCTCAGCTGCTAACCGAAAGGTGAGCAGTTCCAATTCACCAGCTGCTCCTTGGAAACCCTATGGGGCAATTCTACTCTGTCCTATAGGGTCGTGATGAATTGGAATTGACTCGACGGCAACGGGTTTGGTTTTTTTGGTTTATCATAAAGGCACAACTCATGATAAAATGATGTAATACCTTAACTTGGATTGCTGCAAACTGATAGATACACTAATGTTATCAAAGTAAAATGATAGATGCTCTTTATCAATGTTTACCCTTAGCAGCTCCTCAAAGAATTTTCTCATTTGTGTAACTCTCCTGTCTTTTTTCCTTCTTCCCATAATTCAAATCCCAAATTACAGAAATACAATACACCTTTCAGCAATTTTTGTATGTGTGCTGCCTGGAAAGACCCTGAAGTTTGGCAGAGGGGCAAAAGAAAGCTGGCACTTTCTGGTGCATCCCACCCCTCGTGTGCCCACCATCTCAGACTCTGACCACTCTCAGGACGTGCACTGCAGCTCACGTCGGAAGCTGGGTGGGAATGTGGCTGCACCTGCACAAATCAGCCCCCTGAGCCAGGACATCTGCAACAAGGAAAATGGGCCCTTATGAATCTCTGATTTGGAGTTCATTTGTGAATTAGGTAAGATTACTTGGGACATATATCACAGAAATTTTAATATGCATGAATTGACTCAAAACCCAAGAGTTGCAAAGATTCCATCCCAGCAAGCTCTACTGGAGGAAGGGGGAAGACCACCACCAAAGCGATCATCAGGATGACCTGCCTTTCAATATGGGATGCGGTGCCATCAGCTGCCTTGGGTTCCTTCTGGGTCCAGAAAGAGAATTTCGGGAGTCACTTCTACTGGCCTCAGTCCCAAGGGAAGCAGCAGGTGAACTGAGGGAAAAGAAGGAAAGAGTTCAGACCAACAATCAGCTTCCTTCAAACCCTTTTACCTGACGATCTCAAAGAATTTTACAAACTTGAACTAATCCATACTCTCTAACTAATTATTACCCACTGGATAAATGGGTATAATGAGGCAGGGAAAAGTTGAGAAATTGGCCTGAGTCTACAACAAGAGTCAGGCACTCTGACTCCCATCCTAGTGCTTCAAATCAATAGATATGACCACTTCTTATCCTACCATTTATCACACATACTAAGTTTGTCTGAAGCACATTTGAAAAGTTCTAAATGGCTTTTGATAAATTTAGAATCATATTCCAGGCCCAAAAAAGCAAGTGATATTTAGTTTTATCCCAAACAATTACAAGTTTATGCTAAGTAATTAGCCAGCCCAGGGGTGGCTCCCTTTGGACCTGATGTTGTCTGACCTGGTTTCTCAGCACTAAACACAGTCAGAAACCCAGAAACCTGGTCAGAGCAAGTAATCATTTTTCTGTTTTACTGGTATAGTAACAGAGCTCCTCAGACAAAGGTAGCCACAACACCAATGCTAACTGTACAACTGTATCCTCAGAAGCAGCCACCTGCCTTAAATACCTATTTATATCTGTCACATACCAACCACAATGTACAGGGCTTCTCTGGCGCAGTGGTTAAGAGTTCAGCTGCTAACCAAAGGGTTGGCAGTTCGAATCCACCAGCTGCTCCTTGGAAACCCTATGGGCCAGTCCTACTCTGTCCTATAGAGTCACTATGAGCCAGAATTGGGTCGGCGGCAACAGGTTTGGCTATTTTGGTCTTTGCTTTGGGAGTAGAGAACAAAGGAAAGAAAAGGAAAGATCATGGCATCTGGAAGCAGGGCTACGAAGCTCCAGAGTAGAAACCTCAAATAACCAGTCCAAAGTGTGTTCTGATACAATGGACATACTTAAGAAGTATCTGACATGCTCTTTTTGGTTCCCTCTCTTACCTGGGATTTGACAGCAGGCGGCTCTGCGCATCTGTGCCTGCTGCGGCATATTCCGCTGCCCACCGAGCCTCTGCCAGCCGCTGGTTTTCCTTCAGCTCGAGAATTATTTTCTGCTGTTCCTGAAGTTTCTTCTTTTGCTTCTCAATTAGCTGCTGCTGGAAGATGTGGCGGTTGTGGAAATGGCCCATGCAAATGGGCTCTGCTTTCTGGCTGGTGGTTCTGAGCTTCTCATTGCTGCTAGGTTCTTGGCAGGGTTCAGCACCCACAGTCTTGGGCTGCTTGTTGTCAGGTGTGCTTAGAGGAACATTCTGAAGGGGAACCTGCAAGGTGCTCTTTGTTAGTCTTCCTAGAGGAGGACTGGGCATACAACCATTGCTCTCCAAAGGAAGCTTTTCCCACAAGGGGGGCACAGCAGTCACCTGGGAGAGACGAAACATGTTATATAGCTCAGCTACTTAAAGGACTGTGCTAATGAGACCCGACTGTTCTGTTCAGTGGCCTGTACCCCAGCCAGAGTCGCCCTGTGCCCCTGGCCTGGTAGTCTCAGAGGCCACCGGTCTTAGCTCTGTCAGCCACTCTTAGGACGTGCACTGCTGCTCACATCAGAAGCTGGGTGGGAATGTGGCTGCACCTACACAAACCAGCCCCATGGGCCAGGACACCTGCAACAAGGAAAATGGGCCCTTAGACTCTCTAATTTGGAGAGTTCATTTGTGAATTAGGCAAGATTACTCCAGATACAGAATACAGAAATTTTAATATGCATAAAGTGGCTCTGAATCCTGCAGAAAATTGGAAATTTTGTGGCTAAGGATACATACATTCTATCCTTTGAAAACTAAGGAATACCCTAACAAATCAATATTAGCTCTGTTCGTTCGATGTCTCTCTTGCCACTAGACAATCATTTCATTCATTCCAGGATTAAGGCCTGGTTTACAATCTACAGCTATTCCTGAACTATTTGTGGGAAATATTGGCAAGCTCAGGATCACTGAGTAAATATCTATATTATGTAAGAATAATGGTACCTAATACTATTTTGCACTAGCATTTTGCTTAATAGTTCTCAAAGCTTTTATAAATCTCATTTAATAAACTGAAGTAACATACTCAATTACAAGTTCTATAGTGAGGGGAAGGAAACTGAATTCTTACTCAGAAAACTTATCCTGGCCAAAGTAATGTCATAGTGAAATGTCTCTTCTAGAATGGTTTGATTCCATGGTCTAAAGTCTGACCAGTTTTGATTCTGCCATCTGCAGTGGTATAAGAAAAAAAACCACTGCGAACTATCTAATATTAAAGCTTCTAGCTCTCTCTGAATAGCCCTAGCAGGGTGCAATACTCAGGTACTTAAATGTATTTTTTGTGATGATGGAAATGCTTTCTAAAAGCTTGGCTAAAGTGAAAGCATACACTATATGGGAACTCGGACATGATTAAAGACTTTTTTTTATAACCTTTTATTTCAGAAATGTCAGTGGACATTTATTCATGAGACTACCTATTTAAGTAATTTACCATCAAGCCAGGCATGTGTTTTAGGCTCTTTTAAACTTTGTGGTAATGATACGTTATCACCCCAGCAAGACTAAGTAAAAACCTTGAGTACAGCAACAAGATTTCTTCTGGATCATGCTAACTTTTTAAGGTGAAAATAAGAGAAAAAAAGAAAAGCTTAATGGTACAGACTGTACTTAACAGAACGGGACTGAACAGTCTGGCTTAATTAGAGAAAATCACCTATTAGCTAACTGATAATTTTGAAAAATTTCAAGGTATAATACATGTTTTCCTGGTATATGAGTTCCTATGAATATATAATCAATGAGCATCTAACTAGATTTTATATTTTCATTTTATACTCTACACCCTGGAAAAGATTAGAGTTTATCTAGTAACCTACAGAGTCTATTATAGCCCTTAATTTTCATTTGTGCTATTTTTTCAACATTATCTTTTCTTGATAAAATCTTTTGTTCTTGATTTCAGAGATTTGTAGGGTTTTCTTAAGTCTTTACATATATATGTGTGTGTATATATATATACATATGTAGTAATTTTTTTATTTTGCATAGGTAAAAAATAATTTCTGCTGACTTTTTTTTCCTTTAAAGATAATAACAGTGGAACTTTGTAAGCTAAAATGTTCCACACAGCTATTTCTTAAAATAAAAGGCTGTCCTGGGTTTCAATGGAGACAAAATTACCTAATGGATATAAAGATTGATAGATTGCTTAGGGGAAGGGACTGAAAATGTTACGTAAGTCCCAGTAAGTATCCTCATGATCCCTGTTTGCTGAGAGACTAGACTTAAATTAAAACCAGCCTATCTTAATAGCAGTAATCAGGGTAAAAAGCAAGGCTGGGACCCTCCAGTGCTCCACTTAATTACAAGTCTGAGTTAAGTATTTAACAGTAGGGGGGAGGGGAGTAAGCAGGGAGGGGGCAGCGATCTTCTCCAAAAGGCTTACTAAACATGATAGTAAGTGCAACTATGAAAGCAAAAACGACTTCATAAAAATTAACAACTGAGGCGGGGCCAAGATGGCGGAGTAGTCAGACACTGCCTGTGGTCCCTCTTACAACAAAGACCTGAAAAAACAAGTGAATTGATTATATATGACAAGCTAGGAGCCCTGAACATCAAAGGCAAAGCTGAAGAATCAGACTGAGTAGCAGGGGGAGGGAGAGACGGTTTGGAAGCAGCGAGGAGTTGCCAGACCTGATCTGGCAGAAACCGGCACCCTTCAGGCCAGATAGGATGGTGCGTGCGGTGAGGCAAGCAGTGGCGCTCAGGAGTTGTTTTCCACATCAGGAGAGGCTGAGCGGCAGACAGTCTGCTCACGCCTTCAGAACCAGTGAAAAGTGGCACTCAATTGGCATAAGATAAGTACATGCTTCTGACCTACCACACAGATCAAGAAACACCCTCTTTGAGAAAAACCTCTCTCCCATTAACCTGACCCTTCCCCGCTCTGTACCGGGTCTTGGGCCAGCTTCAGTGATTGCCGAGTCCCCTAGGCCAGAAGTGGGACCTATCACGTGCCCTGAGCCCTTCTCCCGGCCTTGGAGAGGGAACAAATTAACAAATAGGAAAAAATAATCTGACGGCTTCCCTAAGCCAGGAACTCAGGGTAGGCACAGCTTCTTTGCCTAGGCACAGGCATGAGGGGTTCACGGATTCTGAATGCCTTTCACCCCTGCACAGACCTGTGTGGGCCCATTTCAATAGTAGGCCCTCATTACCACAGTATAGTAGAATATATACCTGAGCCTAACTTCAACTGTATCAGCTATATGGTGAAGTGGCAGGTTCGTGATATTTGACACTGCTCTGCACATTAAGCAGGGTCCTCACCTACCCACATCAGGGGCCTGAGGACTCGTGGCTCCACCCACGCCACCTAGCCACCTGCAACAGGGGTCCAAGAATAAGTAGTGCCTTCCAGTCCTTATAGCAAATAGCAATGGGTGCTTATACTCTGGCTGCAAAACCCACCCACCTATGCACTCTAGGGAACAGGGATACACTTTCCTCCCAGACACTCAGGGACAGCCGTCAGCCACCTGTCTTGCTCAGCACATGACCCCCTACTGCAGCCAGATACCTGTGCCTATACCAATCACCCCTGCCCGTATAGGACTGTAGGTGAGAGCCTGCACCACAAACTTGGTGACCAACTACCTGGATACCTGAGCTGAATCCATACAAGAAAAGTAAACAGATACCTGGGCTCACATACCTACTAACAGATCTAAACATCCGGTGACATGATGTTAGAGCTTCAAAGGCACCAATAATCAAACTAGCTCACACGAGCAACCTATTTGGGCATCTCAAAACAAAACAAGAAGATAGGACACATAAGCATACATAAAATAAATAAATATAATAACTTATTGATGGCTTGGAGACAACAGTCAATATCAAATCACATAAAGAGGCAGACCATAATAGCTTCAGCAAGCTCCCAAAACAGAGAATCAAGAAGTCTTCCAGAGGAAGAGAACCTCTTGGAATTACTGGAGGTAGAATACAAAAGATTCATGTACAGAATTCTTCAAGATATCAGGAAGGAGATACGGCAAAACACAGAATAAGCCAAGGAACACAGAGAAAGCAATAGAGGAGCTTAAGGAGATTAGAGAAGAGCATAATGACAAATTTAACAGGATGCAAGACTCCATAGAAGGAGAGCAATCAGAAATCCAGAAGATTAACAATAAAATTTCAGAATTAGACAACTCAACAGAAAGTCATAGGAGCAGAATTGAGGCAATGGAAGTCAGAATTGGTGAGATAAAGCACTTGACACCAACTTACATGAGGAAAAACCAGATAAAAGAATTAAAAAAAATGAAGAAACCCTAAGAATTATGGACTCTATTAAGAAGAATAACTTACGAGTGATTGGAGTACCAGAACGGGGGAGACAACAGAAAATACAGAGGGAATTGTTGAAGATTTGTTGGGAGAAAACTTCCCCGATATCATGAAAGATGAGAAAGTATCTATCCAAGATGCTCATCGAACTCCACATAAGGTAGATCCCAAAAGAAAGTCACCAAGACATATTATAATCAAACTTGCCAAAACCAAAGATAGAGAATTTTAAGAGCAGCTAGGGATAAATGAAAAGTCATGTAAATAAGGAGAGTCGATAAGACTAAGCTTGCACTACTCAGCAGAAATCATGCAGGCAAGAAGGCAATGGGATGACATATATAAAGCCTTAAAGGAAAAAGTTGCCAGCCAAGAATTATATATCCAACAAAACTGTCTCTCAAATATGATGGTGAAATTAGGGCATTTCCAGAACAGAAGTTTAGGGAATTTGCAAAAACCAAACCAAAATTACAAGAAATACTAAAAGGAGTCCTCTGGTTAGAAAACCAATAACATCAGATAACAACCCAAGACCAGAACACAGGACAGAGCAACTGGATATCAACCCAGATAGGGAAGTCACAAAAATAAATCAAAGCTAAAACACTGAAAATACGGGAACAGAGATGTCAACATATAAAAGATGACAACATTAAAACAAAAAAAGAGGGACTTAAAAAATGTAGTCATAGATCTTTCACATGGAGAGGAAGACAAGGTGATATAAAGAAATAAAAGAGTGATTTAAACTAAGAAAAACGGATAAATATTAAGGTAACCACAAAGGAAACTAACAATCCTACACATCAAAATAAAAAAAAAGAAAAATATAAAGACTCAGCAAATAAAAAATCAACAACAATGAAAAAGATGAAAAGAAAATACATAAAGAAAAATGAATTAGCACAGAAAATTAAGTGGAACAAAGAAACTGTCAACAACACACAAAAAAAGACATCAAAATGACAGCACTAAATGCATACCTATCAATAATTATGCTGAATGTAAATGGACTAAATGTACCA